TTTATGTTATGCTTTCAAGGCGATGTGTAAACAGGCTTAATATCCTAGAAAGTTTTATTATTGTAATTTGCGATTAAATTTACGGGTAATTTTACCATTCATAAGAATTTCCTGTAATTTACAAATTATAACTGGTTGTGAATCTCAAACAAATTTAAGAAAATTAATATCAAAAACTTATATGTAAGGACACTATTAGTATAACAATATTGAATGGCGTGCTTTTTCACGTTTAGGCGTTAAAGAAATCGGAAGTAGTAACCCGGAAGTCTTGCGACGAATTTTAACCTCTAGCGCTATCTGTGCTTTGTTTTATACGGTCAACTATCCATTAATGAGCCGCGATGGCTCAAGGGATAGAGCACTCGCCTTCCGATGAGGTGAACCGGGGTTCGATCCCGGTGATGGCTGGTCCATACGAATTCCGCATCCGGCTTACACCGACTACAGTGCTGACGTGAAATATCCTCAGTGGGGTAGACGGATCATGGCTTAGAGTCCCCTTGCCGTAAGGCTAACCGTGGGATGTTCTCGCGGTCTTCCTCTCCATGTAACGCAAATGCGGGTTGGTTCCATCAGAAAATCCTCCACGAAGGTAAATTTCTCCCATTACTTGATGCAGGAGTTTCCTTGTCTTCTGAATTGGGTTCAAAATTACAAGGCTACGGAGTTGAACATTAGTAGTCGTAAACCCAACAATTGGGTCGGCTGTTCAACGACGGTTATAAAAGATAAAAATAACTATCCATAAATAAAAATGCAATTTAGGATGATTCAAAGAAATCCCCAGTCTTATTATTCTTCACTCCTTAATATAACACGCAGAAAAAATTCACATCGATTTCTCAGAGCCTATTAGGCACATTCAAAATATGTTCTTAGTGTTATTAATCCAAAACATGTTCAGGAACAGTGGTTAATGGAATATTAGCAAGCAGCAGTTTGAAGAAGATTGGACCAGTCATCAAAAAACGGCATTACACTGGCTAAATATGGCGCTGGCTCACATAGGACGTCGCGTGTAAGACGGCTAAATACGGCGTTCGTTCCTAAAGGATTCAAAATATTATCTTAGATTTTATTAATCCAAAACATGTTCAGGAACAGTGGTTTATGGAATCTTAGCAAGCAGCAGTTTGAAGAAGTTTGGATCAGTTATCAAATGGCATTACGCTGGCTATATTCGGCTCTCGTTCCTATAGGATTCAAAATATTTTCTTAGTGTTATTAATCCAAAACATGCTTAGGAACAGTGGTTAATGGAATATTAGCAAGCGGCAGTTTAATTAAGTTTGGATCAGTTATCAAACGGCATTGCGCTGGCTAAATATGGCGCTGGTTCACATAGGACGTCGCGTGGAAGCCGGCTAAATGAGGCGCTCGTTCCTATAGGATGTCGAGTGGTTGCCGACTAAATACGGCGCTCGTAACGATAAGGTAAAATTGGTTTCTGAGAGAAAACGTATGATACAATCTCAATTATTCCATATTTACTATGAAAAGAAAAGTTATTAGTAAAGTTAAGAGTTGGGATATTTTTATAACTTCACATCATAGTAAAGTGGAAGTCTAAACGAGAACTATCAGCGGCACTTAAAAAAAATTTTATGGTCACTTTTTTATTGGTTTATTTTTATTTTCAGTTGCATTTTGTTTCACGATAAAATATTTAGCCTACTCTTTTATCTCTAAAGGGTCTTTCTAATTTCCAAGAGATTTAAATCGACAAATGAGACTATAGTATTGCTATTTCGAAATTTAATATAGGAAAGAAATATAAAAAATTAATATAGACGAAATAACAACTATGGATGTCAACTAAAAATGAAGAACTGAATGATTATACATACAATTTATTTTCATGAAATATTACAATGAAGAATAAGTGATAAAATTAACTAATAATAAGTGATAAAATTAACAAATAAAATTAACTTTTCCACTATAATGCATAAAATGAATAACATTCAAATATTTTAACCAGAGCTGAAAAAGATGCAGCATAATAAAAGTTACAAAATCAGTTTGGTAAAAATATTATTTTGCAAAATCTAAAAATTCTTAGATTTTTAAGATTCAATATATTGAATCAATTTTCTTTTTCTTCTAGAAACAAGAAAAAGATTATGAATAACACAGGGTTTAAGCTGAGTCTAAAAATTCATTAGCAAAAAAGCTAAAATCTGAAAAAAAGTTTTAGCAAAATGCTAAAATGCCATTAGGCTTATAAAATTACTTTATATCAAACAAGTACTGTAAGTTATCTGACAAAGAATAGCTTAATGTACAAGAATATCAAAAAGAATACCTATAACAAAAAAAAACACATTNTAAATTTAAATCTGTGCATTGCTTAAGTAGTGTATGCATAATTGTTGTCTGTGTCACTTATTTCATTTTAAATAAAACTTGTAGAACCTAGGTTAACTTGACCTATAAATATATACCATAATACCAAAACCATTTTTCGAAATTACTTAATTTCATTGAGTTATTGAAATTATAATAAAAGTGTACTTAAGATTTAAAATGAAGTATTTTTAAACAAAAAGTGACAATAATAAACAATCTTCATATGATATAGGTTTTATAGAGTAGCACTAACTCTGCAAATTTCTTTAAGATACCAAAAAAGGGATAATTTCTCTCTCAAAAGTTGAGGGGGACTTTGTCCCACTCTTCTCCCTTGAAAGAATCTAGATTTACAGATATTGACATCATCAATAAAATGAATCATACATCCCTTGTTACGAATTAATTCTTTTTGGCGGCGTCAATTCGTCGCCAATCAAATTATTTTTTTTTGTCAGTTGTTCTCGATGCACTCATGCCTGAAGGAGCATTTCTTGAAAGCTCCTATTTCTTATATTTTTTTGTTTTGTTTCAGTCTAATTATTATTTGTTTCATTGTTAAGTTTATTAATAAATATAAAAGCACATATTAATTGTTTTCTTACTGACCAGGGCATCAAATGGTAGAGATATACGCATATCCCGAAACTCGAAATAGATTTTCTATCAGGCTATGCGTCATCTCGTTTGATCACGTTTTTTTCGTGAACGCTAGCGTCATGGTTCTTCTTGTGAAAGATATTTAGATTTTTTCTCCTTCTTGTTTGATCAAGGTTTTTTTCATGGATGTTAGCGTCATGGTTTTTCGCGGAAGCTTTTTTTTTAATGGAATTTAGTAAAATACTTTAGCAAAAATGCGAAAATGCTTTGTTGAATTTTAGCATTTTTGAGGGGTCTTTTCGCATTTTGCGAAAAAAGCTACCGTAGCGGAAACCCTGGAATAACACAACTTCATTACAAATAAATTATTAGGCATTTTTTAATCATTGTATTCCTTAAGATTAAGGTATTGTTTATATACTTATTTAAAATTAATCAAAATATTCTTTTGGTGAATATTTTTAAACATAAATTATTATAATATTTAATAAATGACAAAAAAAAATGTTTTTTTTTTTTGTTGAAGTTTTATACAAATTTGTTTGTACATGAAGTCATATTGATTAGAACTAATTTTAAAAATACTTTTCAGTTTATAATATTGCAGAATTTACTTAAAATAAAAATGAATCCTTTGCATATACAACAATTTTGTTTCCTGTTGTGTTGATGATTATATTAATACTGAACCACTTAGCCAGCTTTTCTTTGGAATAACCTTATCATATGTAAAAACTTTTTCAGAAAAAAAAATATATTGTCCTATTCATTTATGGTGACATGACTTGTTAAAGCTTAAAAAATTTAAGGAAAAAATTTTCATATGACCATATAATAAAATAATAAGTATATTTGTAATTTTTTTTGCAATAATAATTAGCATGAAAAAAGTCTTTTACATAATGCACAAGGATTTAAAAAGATATCAATATTTTTAAATAAAAATATCAGTATACATTAATTAAAAAAATGAGTAGTACCAAAATATAAATTAAATTTTGAATTAATTAATACTAAGGTGGAGAGTAATAAATTGATGCGATTCATTATCTGATGCTCTCAAATGAATGCTGTTTATATTCTAATTCATAAGTTTTCGAAATTTTATGTCAAGCATACTTTTTAGTGAATCATTTCCATTTCAAATACCAATTTTGTATTCTAAGGGTTTCAAAATTAGAAGAAAAAAAAATAAGATAGAAAATTTATAAAAAGTATGATATATGAGTTGTGCAAAATAAAGAACCATGCAGGGTGAAAGATAAATTTTAACATAAATTTTTATGTACTACACCTTCTTAATTTATTTCCCATCAGGGAAAGTTAACCATTGCTGTAATGCAAAATATGTACTTTACTTTGAAATATAAAGCACTATGTATTTTTCAAATTCTGACATTGACATTCTTTAATATAATTTTTTTTTGCATAAAATACAACCTTTCATCCTTATTTTAGGGTTTTCATTTATTTAAAAAATGTTAATAAAACACTGCAAAAAATTCAAATATCATATCAGGGCAAATATTATTTACAAGCTAGCCAGTAAGATATTTATGGTGCAGATTGAAAAAATACACCATATTCCATGTAACATAAGCAAATAAAGCAGGCCAAATTAGTGATTCTTGCAGGATGGTTTTGGTCTGTTGGCTGTAATTTGGAAACATTTGTTTCTTACAATTCCTGTGACAAAGCAGGCAAAGTTTAGAGCTTATAACCAACAGTATATTATAAAGCAGGCAGAAGTGATACAAAAATATAATTTCCATTATATAGCATTTAACATTCATAAAGATGTGAACATGAGTAAAATATGAATACGTTAGATTGTAAAAGTTTTAAAAAATAGCATGCGATCAGAGGCAGCGTACAAAATATCACAAATTCAGAAATAGTAGAGTCTTAATATAAGATTTCACTCAAATAGTAATAGTAGAGTAGTCATTCGAGCATTATTTTGATTTTTTTTCTCTCAACATGATAGCTCGTGAAAAATATGTATTGTGTAAAAATAAATCATATTTCTCTTTCACGTTTTTTAAAAAATTTTTATGAACAAATAAATGGTTTATACTTTAAACTTAACTAACACACAGATAATACTGTACTTCCTCTTTAACTTCCTTAGCGCTCAAAAATGCTTTGAATACCACAAACTAAATACAAAATGCTAACTATCAAATATTGAATTAATATTTTTTCAAGTAGATAATAATAAAAAATAACATTATTTCTAAAAGAATAGTAAAAACAAATCTAGCATTCACAAGCAGAAGATAATATTTACATAGTAGAATATCACAATGAAGATTTAAGATACTTTTACATCGATACATATTCTTTTGTAATACAACCAGATGTTCTTTTAATAAAAACATCTTCAGTAAATAGTGTAAAATGGATAACTTGATACATATATCATATAAAAAGTAAATGTAAAACAAAGCCAAATAGTAGTCCAATAGCAAAACCATTAAATAAAAATGGATTACAGCAAATTAGTTAAAACAACAGATTGATTTAATGGTAGTTATTGCTTGACTCAATATTTATTTAAAATAACAGACTAGCGCTTCATGGAAAAAGAAAACAAGGGTGCAGCATGACGAGTGCCGGACTCTACGCTTTTCCCGCCAGGTGGTTTTTTATTGAACTCTTTAAAAGGTTTCTTTTGCTGATTTTCTGTCTTGACAAGCTGCAGATAGTGTTGACGTTGTTCTTTACTTTGATTGTAATTTACCTCCAAAATATTTGAATGGAAGGAATAGTCCTTCATTCTGAAAAGAGCTGTTTCAGCATCTTTTTCATTCTTAAAACAAACAAATCCAAACCCTCTACTATTTTGGGAATCATCACGAGCAATTTTAACACTTGTGACTTCTCCAAAAACTTCAAACAATTTCCTCAATTCTTTCTCATCAGTGCTTTTTGGTAAATTTTTCACATGCAAGTTGTTGAGTTGAGTTGCTTTAACTAGCATATCTTTTGCATGATCCAAAGATTTTGAGTTCAAGCCTTCTCTCACATCCTTGGGTAAGTACGGCTCAACTCTTAACACTTTTTCACCAAACACTTTATCATTCATTTCTTTGGCAGCTTTCTCTGCAGAGGTGTGCTCTTTAAAAGTAACAAATCCATAGCCATTCGATTTACCATCAGTCTTTGATATCTCAACATGAACAACCTCACCAAAATTTTCAAACTTTTGCTCAAGATCCAAATCATCCCAGGAGAGATCAAAGTTCTTCACAAAAATCTTTGTAAAAATTCTATTTATTTTTCGAAGATTTGGTTTACCACCAGCCAATTTTACCACTAGAGGTCTGCCATATAGACATTGGCCGTTCATCTTTAGAGCAGCTTTTGCACTTGATGGTTTCTGAAAGACTATTTGCCCTTTCATTAATGAAACAAACTGGTCATCATAGTCAATGCTTACAGATAAAATATTCCCAAATTGCCTGAAATCTCTGCATAACAGATATGCATCTACATCAGGATAGAGATTTTCAATAAAAATTTGCCTCTCCATAATTAGTAGATTAAGTAGTTACCTAAAGAAAGAAAAATGCATTAAATAGTCGAAAATTAGCACAACTTTAATTTTGGCAATAATTTCATGTAAAACTAAACATTTTGTTAGATTCGTAAAAATGGCAGTGATCTAATAAAGTAAAGTATATCTCGACAGGGTTTAAGCTGAGTCTAAAAATTCATTAGCAAAAAAGCTAAAATCTGAAAAAAAGTTTTAGCAAAATGCTAAAATGCCATTAGGCTTATAAAATTACTTTATATCAAACAAGTACTGTAAGTTATCTGACAAAGAATAGCTTAATGTACAAGAATATCAAAAAGAATACCTATAACAAAAAAAAAAACATTTATTATTTATCAAAACATTTTGGTTTATAATTAACAAT